ATTTTATGATTTAGAAACTACTTATCAAATTTTGATTTTGTTGTATCAACACTTCCAAAAAAATCATCTGCTTCACGACTCAAAGTAAAAAAAAAAAAGTTTGTATCGCTACAAAACAATGATTAAAATGCACAAAAAAATACAAATACAAGCATGTATTATGGCTTATATAGATTTGTATAAAAAATTCAAAAATCATATTTTGATTAAATTCATTTTAAACGGATAAGAAAGGGGATGATCATACATGGCGAACCACACCGTATAATATACGCGTTGCTGCAAACTGCACCAAAGTGTATGCATAATATTATATTATCACGGGTTGAAGAAATGACCGTACAATACAAAATAAACTATTATGTTAAAATATTAAAACGCCGTTGTAGACGCACAGCAGGAATATGCCGATAAACTGATAGATATACTGTAACACCAGCTATGTGTAAATATGTCACCAATACATTGTATTTTTTCAAATTACGTGTACCTAGTTGGAATTTGCCACACTAATGTTTATAGCTTGACAAATGGGTTAAGCGATTTTTTGTTCAGTCTTTTTATTTTCAACAATAACACAATAAGTTCTTTGAATGTGGTACACTGGTACAATAATACGTAGATAGGTATAGGCACCTACCTAAACAATACTCGTGCACGTTTGTAACTACTATTTATTAATTTAAACAATAATTATTGTTATGGTAATAATATTCAAAAACATAATATTAATATAATGTGCTATTTTTTTTCTGTCAAAATTATTAATTTCACTCAAAAATTACAATAAGGTATGCGTATAGTCGCCACTCAAATATTATAGTCTACAAACTATTATTATATAGTAAGCATCGTATATACATATTCATGGGAAAAAATAACATTGAAGTTTAAAAACACGTACATATATGACAATACATAGTTTTCTGACGCTAATTTCGCTATTAAAATCCGAACAAAGACAACATTCCAGAAAAATGTAAATTTGTATAGCCACTTAAAATCTCAATACCCATAATATTATAATCTTCAATGCAACACGAAATATTATTTTCAAAGTTCCAACCGAGGCCTAACAAGAAATTATATTCTCACGGTTACCCGGTGACCCTGCCCTTCTGCCTTTGTCTACACGACTAATCATGATGGTACCTACAATACAATATACGGCAATGTTAATATTATATTATAATATACTGTCATTGTTCTTATTGTAAAAGTGTCTGTAACTATGATAGGTACCTACGCGATGTTGTGATTATGACTTGAATCACGTATTATAATATATTGCAGTAAAATGTTTTAATTGTGTTGCTTTTCGTAATATTTACATAAATTGACAGAGCAGTCGTATTATTATACATCGATTACATAATTGTCTACAAAAACGATGGTTACTTAGACTTGTTAAAAAAAAAAAGAATGTAAGTGTTAACAAAGTGTGACAATTGGCCCAATAACCTAGGTTGTCGAATGAAATTGTGTCGGGCAATGTTTAATATCCATGACATTTTGCTCCGTTGAGTATATAGTCGTATTAAATACGCCTATACATACATAACCACTATGCACCGACCACTACTATTTAGCAACTATTGCAAATCAAACAAAAAAATCTTTTAGATTACATTGCATAATAACAAAACGGCGCGAAGAAGTTACACAGACTGTATGCAAACAAAGCATCTGTTTATAGAGTAATCTAATTAATTAGATGAAAGTCAAACTAACTGGTTTTTTCAATCGGTAAAAACAAACCTACAATTATAAATAATTAAAAAGTTCATATTTGAATAAAATGATATCAGTGAAATTTCAAAATATTATTATTACTTATAAGTAAGCTCACCTAATCAATATTCAATGTCGTTTGGTTATGTACTATAGAAATTTAATCATAATACAAATTGTATACCTAACCATAATATAAATATACAAACAGTTTTGTTGGGTACACAACTTATAGTAGATATTATGATTTATGACCATATTTTTAAATTTTAAATTTATGTATATATAATATTAAATTAAATTAAATTATATTAAATTTATGTGTATATGTTATTATGTTATATGACGTATGGAATTTCTGGAACTATTTAAAAAACAAACAGTTTTTAATATTATGTAACTATATTTAGATTAAAAACGGATATTGTTTTCCAAATAATAATATTATTATACTTTCAATAGCTAAGGATTACTGGAAAGAATCTACTTCGTGTAAACCAAATTGATTCATGGAAGCTAGGATTACTTATGTTACACGATTATAGTTATTTTTCTACTCACGGGAATTATAAAATAAAAAATAAATCTTTATATAAAGAATAGTCGACGAAGGACATCGTAATATCTTCAGAAGAATGAAGATGTCTTGTGATATTTAAAAATAATATAAATAGCACAAGGTAAGTGTATTTGTAAGACTGCCTTATAAGAAAATAAATGGATACCTACCTATATTATGTTATGGACAAAACAATACTTTCAAATAAAATTAAGTGAATTTTAGTTAAAACAAATTATTACTTACTGTAGTTTTTATTACATACAGCAAACAAAAACTAGATATAATTATATCCTATGTATTATATTTATAGTTTAAAAATTATTTGTGTAGATATTTTTTCATCAAGATTCGTTATTTAACGATGCGATTGTAATAATACAATGATGGATAGCTTTTCACGATTTCTCAAATTATGTAATTGCATTAAACTTCTTCGGATGTGCTATTGATTTTTTTTTTATTCCAAATAGTTGTAATAATTGGTAGGTAGTAGGTACTTATATAAAATATACTTATAACTTATAAGCAATATTATAATAGGTAGGTACATGTGTCGTTCCAATAGTGATATTGTGTTCTAATAACGACACCGGATTTGTTATTATTGGATTTTCTAATTTCTTTTCGCCTTTAACCTTACAGTAAAATAGTGCCGTCTTTTCACGATTCTACCCGACAGACCTTTGACCGTGGGGACGTCTTGAACGGGAGAATTCGTAACCTTGATTAACGGATAACTTTCACTATACCGAATATCGAGTTTATAGATGTATACCCTGCAGTAGTACACTATCTCAAAATTCTCAAACTTTCTCTTCCAACACGTTTTGGTATATATTATTACATTTTTTTTTCACTTTGAAACAAACAGTTCGACAAGTTACATGAGTACAGGTCAAAGCAGATGTGCCCAACTTTCACCGTCAACTGCAGCTAACTGGTTGCTTGCGTAATGCACCCATAGTATACCGGAAATCGCACCACATCCCTAAATCGTTCCTGGCACATGTAATAACAATGGATCGTTGCCAAGTTCAATTGTATACGATTATTCGGCCATTCCATAAAAGTAAAATTTTGTACTATAGTTATGCAGTTGGTGATTACATACCACAATGTCAATCATTAGAATACATTTTTTTTTCATTCTTGACAATGATTAAAACTTGATCGATAAAATTGTCGCTTGTACATCGATCTCTTCATGTATCAATAAAAGTGCTAAATAGAAAGTTTAAAAAGAAAAAGTCAACTCGTTCAAACATTTCCTGCAGTCTTGAGTGAATACCAATATTAACCAGTCTCAGTATAAACAAGCATCTATATAAACACTTTTAAACACGTAATAGCAGTATGAATGATACAACTATAAATGTGTTTTTATTCATGATATAATACTTACAAAATTAAATATTAATATTATATTATATGCAATAAAAAAGTTTTATTATTTGAATACTATTTACATGAACAATCGCTTTGGACATTGTCCAGCAGATTTGAACACTTGATGTCCTGATACGTTTTATTTGTTTTTAATTTATTAAACGTAATACCTATTAAAAATAAATAACTTCAAGACTAAATATTATTGTTGACATTGCGATCAACTATTTTGTATGATATAATAGATTAATATTTTTTCTAATTTGAATATTTTCATATGCGTTTCAAACAAAAACACTCAATTCCTATTGAATTTTAAAATCTAAACTAATTATTGTAATTTATTCACGTGTAATAATTCAATAATTGTATTTATAAATTATACATATTATGATTCAATGATTGTATTAAACTGTATATATGATTAAATACAGTGGCGTATTTTGAAATTTTTTGTGGGGGGGGGGTCTAAATATTAGGTACCTACAAGTTTATAATATAAAAAAACACATACGAGTTACGATGTAATAATTATATTATATTATATTTTTTTCTGGGGGGGGGTCCAGACCCGGGGACCCCCCCCCCCGTAAATACGCCACTGATTAAATAAAAATCTAAAATACCGATCATGATTATACGACAACATTTTTTGAACATTTAGTAATAAACTTATAAATAAACTTTTAAGTTATAACTGACTACAATATATGTTACAACTTATAACATAATTTATTCTTTTATCGTAATCTTCGAAATTTTTTATAGGTTGAATTTTGTTTTTGGTATGTACCTAATTTAATGTAAGTTTAGATTATATTTGTTCATTTCAACAAGTACTATTACTAGGTATATAATATCTTCTTGATATATGTATTAATTTTATAAATTTAATTGTAATATTGAGCATAGTACAATTTATTACCTACACATTACAATAATACATAGCTATAAATAGATTTACATTTTTATAAATCATATCTATCGTTTTTTATATTAATAATAAATAATTATCAATATGTTATCATATCATGGTTAGATTTAAAAATATATTGTAAAATCATCTGTTCTAAACTTTTTGTTTCATAATTTGATTTAAAAATTTAGCTTTCCATCGAATTCCAATAAAGTATAAGAATCTACAATTTTAATATTACAAATTCAAATGTTAAAAATCTTTTGTATATATACAATATACATACCTACATTTTTTTAACGTCCACCTAATTTTTTAATTCTATCAAAAGGTATCCGTGTTTCATACACAAAAACTATAATATCAACAAACATATAATAATTTATACTTTGGATAAAATGTTACCTTTTATTATCCTGGTGGCCGACACTGATGAACTTATTAAAACAGAACACACAATAAATGAAAATAGATTGCGACAAACCATTTTGAACGTTTTAAATAAATTTTCTTTTAATAATAACCGTTACGTGTATGAAAACATCACATGCTATGTGGCTATGGTATGTACAGCGAAATAACACTACCTATATAGCGAGCACGTTGACGGTTCGTTTTTTACTGCGACTGATCGAGTAACCGGCTCGTAGGTACCTAAACTATCTATATACCTACACCACCAGAATTGGTCTCCTGCTGTTGTTATACTATTATTATACATATACCTCAACTACCCACCGCAGTTATGGTTACGTATATACCTACCCTTAAAATATAATTCAAAGAATGTTTAACAATGACGTATGATTTTAATGAGTGTCTGTAACTTATATATATGTTATAATATATTATTATTTATTACAAAACAATAAAGGTCATATTTATTTTATTTTAATAACCATCGTAAAAGTATATGCATGATAAACTGTTTTTATTTAACAAATATTAAAATACCTATGATAAATTATTAAGCATAATTAGTTTTCAACTAACAAAACACAAAAGCATAATATGGATTATAGTAGATATCTACATTTAATCACAGGCTATCAATTACGAATTGTTTTATTTATTTATTCATTAGTTTTATTACTAAACTTCTTTATATTAATTGAGCTGCATGCAATTTTCAAAAGAAAAAGAGAAAAAAGTGGGTAAGTGGATGTCGCTCTGCTGTGCATTAGGTTACAAGTAACAAGTGGGTGACTGTAATGGATGGTGTTAAATTTGAATTCAATAAAATATAATATCATTGTATAAGAAAGACGATTCTGAGCTAAAACGGTCAGTCAGCCTATGATATTACTAAGTATATTTGATGATATTATTGTGACTAAAGAAATTTATATATTAACCTGTTTACGTGGAACCTTGTTTGAAATTTTTAATCCTTAGCTATAAAAGCTGAACATTTATACATTTTTAACTACAAAATAATTATTAAATTTTAAATTTGATAAATGTTGTCAAAATTCGAACTTTAAATGCTTATAAAAAAAATTGTGCCAATGTATTTTTAATACTTTTCACCTGCTATTGTAACAATATAACAATTGCCTTGCATTAAATTGTCACGCTTTTTTATAGAAAAAATACAGTTTTATTTATATTTATAGAAAAAAAAACTAAAATAATTTAAAACTGACAATGTCCGTAAACAGCCCAAAAAGAGTCAAAATATTTTCAAAATGTTATGGTGTATAGAAAATGAAAATATATACATTTCATAAAATTTTCATGTATCTACAGTTATTCGTTTTTGTACAACAATATAATAACAAAACCACTACACGAGAAATCGAATGAATATCCAATATTGTAAAAATATGAATTTCAAACGCTCATACAAATTTAATTTGATTTGCTTGTAGAAATTTTTTTATTTTTTATGAATTCTCAACTCAAAATAATTTGCTAATTTCTGTGGGTTTTCCATATTTTCAAGATTTGAACTTTAAATGCTTATAAATAAAAACGGCGACTTAGGATTTTTAATATTTTTCAAATGTCATTGTAATAATATAGTAGGAGTCTTGTATTACATTTTCAAGATTTTTTACCCATCAAATAAAGTTTTATTGACATTCGTAGAAAAATGACTAATAAAATTGTAAAATGAAAATGTTCCTAAACAGTTCAAAACAAATCAAAATATTTTTAAAATTTGGTTGGATATAGAAAATGCAAATATAAACGACCAGTGAAAATTTAATGTGTATACGTTAATTTGTTTTAGATTTACACCAAAAACCAAAATCAATTTTATGGAAAACCGATTTTGCATAAAAATTACTGTTTTTCCTTAATTTTTATGTTGTTTTTGTATGCGCTTTTGAAAACTATTGGGCCAAATTTTGGCCTTCTCAATGCACCAAAAATATTTACTTTCCCATCAAACAATAGATACTGAAGTTAAAAATCATTATTTCGACAACTTATCGTGTACACAGATACAAAAATAAAAAAATAAATAACAAAATAAAATAAAATAAACACACATCATTGTAAAATCATTCCGCTCAGAATCTAAAACATAACTTGATATAATTCTATAGTTAACATTTTTAGATTCCGAGTGGAGCCAATGAATGCATTGTATTTACAATGATGTGTTTCTTTTCTGTCTATCATCGACATTTATTGAAAATTTTTTTCAGGTTCTCGACATCATAGTATATTAAAATATTATGGTTTCTACTCAGATTCTCTTTTTTTAGGAGTGAATCATAGCAGGTACCTAGTACCTACAAGCAGTCATTGATAGACAAATGCCTCATCTCTCATAATTCATCAACGTTCACAATATTTTAATAATTTATAATTTTAAATCTATAATTATTAATTATTATTGCCATAATTTTCTACAAAAATAAATATTAAGTTACTATAGTAACCTATAGGCACCTATAGTTATAGTTGCTATAGTTAGAGAGGATAATGCGATGGGTGATGTGTTTTAGACGTTGGTTTAGACTGCCACGTTCGTTAAAATAAAAGTGAACTTGTGTACAGTATATCGTCAGCTTAACTCGCAATATTGTCCTAACTCCAAAGTTATAACTTTTCAGGAGAAGAATAAAACATTTCATTAATTAAAAAAAATGAATTAAGGGCCGGTTTTTCAATTGTTATAGTAACTGCCAGTTAGTTAACTTTCAGTTAATTTAAACCATCAGTTAAAACGCCGGTTAAAAAGTGCACTGTTTAAATAGTAGTGGTTAGTTTAACTATCAGTTAAACCTGATGGTTAACTTAACTGGAGTTCCAAAAACAGTTTAACTGGGACAACGTATTAACCGGCAGTTAAATTCTACTAACTGCCAGTTAAAGTCAATTGAAAAACCGGGCCTAAGACCTTCGAACTTTAACAGCTGATTTCATGGATAAATAAGTGTCCGATTGGAGTGATAATACGATTTTAAACGATGCACAAAATTATTATCTATAGGAAAATGTAATAATCTAAAAATCGCATTTTTGGAGCTAGAACAATTACGAGTTAGGCCGACGATATATAATATATACTATATTATATTGTACATAGACACATAGTACAGATTCTAGTGTAAAATTATGCTTAAATATTTGTCAATAAAAAACCTTGATTATTTAGTTAAAAATAACGATTTGCTACGTAATCGTTACGAATAAAAATCATAATACATAATAACAGTGAAAAAATACTACCAACTACTTATATGATTGATTTACATACTATACTTACTAATTAGTATTGGAAAGTGGGAATAATACTATTCTTAAAAGAAATAGCAACATACAATTTAATTATGTTCTTTGATATTAATTTCAAAACTATTTTAATGTTCTTATGAAAGCATTACTGTAAATTAGACATTATGTTGGTACTTATAATACTATACTTATTTCCTATAGTGTTATATTATAATGGTCCGCTAGGAATAAAAAAAGGTATGGCTGACAGAAAATATGCATCTATATACGATTCGTAAAAACAAAGCCAGATTTAGATATTAAGATTTAAATATAAAGAGCTCAACAAAATTATGATAAAATAAAAATACAATTGTCTAATGTATACCACTGAACACGACATTTTAAGTATATAAATAAAGTAGATCAGTCTTCAATACATTATTTTATAAATACATTAGTTTGAAATATTTATAAAATAAGACTATAAAAACAAAACTATAGATATTATTTTTTGACAAAATTATTTCACTGTTTATTATAATATAGTGTACAAATTAAATACATATTGCCATCGTATCTTAAAAAATAATGAAAGTTTTTATTTCTGTTATAATAAATAAAAGTTACAATTTTTTAACATAAAATATATGGTTTTAATTTCATAGTCTCGCACAATAAAAAACGATGCGAAAAAGCATTTTGTACATAGCTGAACCACTCATTTTAGAAAAATAATATATATCAAAAATAGGCCTTTATTGAAGCATATAATATAAGCGCTTAATCAGCTTATAACATATTTTATAACCAGGAAAATTTAGGCTATGCTACAACTGGCCCTAAGTCTGGTCAGCCATTTTCATATAAATATAAATTAAACACTCACGTTGCTAAAAAAAAAGGCGATAACTTAATAACCGTCAGAAACATAGGTACATAGTGTTAGAGACATAATAGATATTAGACCTTTTTTTAAAATTAACTATAATAAATGAAAAAGTATCTAAGTAGGAGTTTCAGAGCCCAAAACCCTTCCCCAATGCTAACCTAACCTATCAGTTATCACATATGGCATATGCTTATTATATAAATTACTCAAATTCTAAACAAACGGATTATCTGCATTTCAAAATGTTTGTGACATACACTTCTAATTAATATTTCCCAGCTTTGGAGTTAAGCATGTCTCCCAAAGCTACGCAAACAGTGTTGTTAAATTTGTTCTTAATTGATTTATTAAATGCGTCCACTAAAACACGGTTTACTTCGATCTCCTCATCTTTTGACAAATTGAACTCTGCAGGGTCAATCATGACTGTGGTGTTTTTAATAATGGTATTTGCGATGCATTCGTCACGGTTGAACATATTGCTAGTTGGCACTATTTTAATGTTTTCGATCTCGAACATAACGTAACCCGTGTACTGTTTGCTGTCTTTGGTGAGCTGCGTTCGGAAAGTGCCTCTCAAATGATGTATGACCAACTCGGTTGTGGAGGTCAATTTTTTGTTAGCCATATCTACGACCATATTTTTTACTTTTTGATTGGTTTGGTTCAAACCATTAGTGAAGACGTCATCGACTATGAGTTGTATTCCCGAAGACGTACTGGCAGTAAATCCATGGAAGTGTGGGTCCGACACGTTCTTGAACATGATGTAAGGTGTAATTGCATGTCTGATTGCGATAGAAATGTTGGGTTGCATGGACTTCGCTACACTATCAGCGATGTGTTGGGATGCGACCTCTTCCAGGAAGTATCTGTTAAAAAAAGGGAGGATTATAAAATTAACTTTAAAAGGGTATTAATGCTTAAAACTTGTAAACTTGCATTAATTTTTATTATTAAAAATTTTTTTTAATAATTATAACTTATAAAATCATAATAATAATTTTTTTGATAAACAATATTATTATATTTACTTATCTTAATATATATAAATCTCGTGTCACAATGTTTGTCCTCAATGGACTCCTAAACCACTTAACCGATCTTGATGAAATTTTTACAATGTGTGTAATTTGACCGAACTTAAAAGATAGGCTAATTTAAAAAGGGAGAGGACCAACCCCGGGAGGTGCTCAAACGGGAATTTTGAGATTTCAGATGGAAATTTTTGTTTATAAATGGTTGCCATGAGTGACTTCGTATAAAATGATTCATTCTAGAATTAATTTCAATCCAGAATTATATTGGATCGTTTTAATTCGTTGCCAAGAGAACAAACAAACCGTTTATTATATACATCGACGATTTGTTATTGTACATGTAAACATATTCAATCAGTATTATTATTATGCGTCTATAAGCAATGATGGGTTTTAAGCTATATAATAATAATAATAAAAAAATTATTTGCTTTACTTTTTAAATATAAATTATAATATAATATCTAACTAATAAAAATATGAAATTAAAATCTCTGTACAGGCTAAACTCTGAAACTAGGTACTTATCAGATCGTATAGATTTTTTTTTAAACGAAAGAGTATTTTACAGAGAATGTTTATAATATGAAAGAAAATTTTAGAAAAATCTACTGGTGTATAATACATTGGTTGCTATTGGTTACTCATGTTTGTTCATTTGTATTATTATCTTTTGTCAATATACATTATATATAAATATAAATATATACAAGAAGATCTGATAAGTAGTACCAGAGTTTAGTCTGTATATTTATATGGTTAGATGTTTTTTTTTACTCATAGGATTTTAGTAAGGTTAGGTAAGGTTAAGTAAGAATTTTGTATTAATTGATTATATTTATCCACGGTACGTGGAATTAAGTAAAAATGACAATCTTGGAATAACTTTGATACTTTAGACTTTTAGAGTTAAATCATACACTTACGTACAAACATCACGGGGTCCACGATCTACCGTAGGTAGATTGCCTACCTGATAATTTACTGCTGCGAAACAGAATTTTTATTCCAGTCAACAGTAAAGTTAAGATACATTTAGAACAACATACACCAAATATTAAATAATGAATTTAACAAAGTTTGAGTCATATAGAGTTGGTACATTTAACGGGCAACGAAGTGCACGGGATCAGCTAGTATACTATATAGGCACCGATATACAACCCATATCAGTTTTTAGTAATTGATAAATACGGATAAATTATCCAAATAAATGGGTATGTTATTATATTATTAAACGCAGTATTAACTATATTACCTAACTAATTATATTTCAGTAATCATACAATTAAACTTGTATTGACACATCATAACTCATGAGTTACAAAAAATAATTTTATCAGTGTTATTATATGACCTACTCAGTAAAATGCTTGTAATCTAACTTACTTTAGGTTATACAAATTGTCGACATTTGTGACGGCTGGAATATTTCTTGAAAATAAAGCTTTAACACTTTCATATGAAATGCTTGATTTTGGCACTGAAGATGGATATTTCATAGTGTTTTCCGAAAGAGGAGTATTTGCCTGGTATCTAATTCCCCCTAATATAATGCGATAGTTTCCTTGCTCAAAGTATGTGGTATTTGAATAATAGTAGCTTCCTCTAATATTGGCATCTTTCCATTCGATATTAGTTACGATCTTTATGTATGTAAACATGATTAAAATATGATTATTGATTATAATAAAAATTTGTGTTGATTCCAACAAATAACAATTAATATATACATTATACTTATATAGACATACTATAGTAGGCTATAGAGTGGAAAATAAGTAAAAATGAATTAATAGTAATTAATGATGCACGCTTGAACACGTACCTACCTGATCAGGTGCCCATTTAATGACAATAAGGTTATGGTTACAACCCCTCAATCCTCTGATTATGTTATTGTTGAATACTAAGTCAGTTTCTGATTGATATGTGTGTGTATTCGGTATGGAACATTCATTTTTCAAATATCCGAACGGAAATGGGGGATCATAAACATGACCACTGTATTCAGAGACAACTCTAATTTGATTTGAGTACGCATGAAAAACAGCTTTTCCAATTTCTTCGTCACTGTTATCACGCATATTTCTCGGCAACATCTCGGGTATCGTATCATTGTCATACATCCAATTTACCGAATCCGATGTTTCATCTAAAAATTATATTATAAATTAGGTATAGTATATAATGAATGTTAACTAAATATTTTGTTTTTTACCTAGGTAGTAGGTATCTATTAATATAGCTGAGTTATTAACCATAATTTTGTTTTATATTTATAAAATTAATATATTACCTGCAACAGAGTAAGAAATGCAAACAGCAAAAACCAAAGCCAATAACGACTCCATCTTGATCACGAGAGGGCTAAAAGTGTTGATTGTATAACAGTTCTATTCTTTTATATAAAATAATAAATACAGTATGTTCATAAAACCGTTTATTAATAATTAACTCTCCGTAATTCGTTATCATTGTTATTATCATTCAAAAGTTAGATTAGCAAAATTATAAAATAGGTAAATTAAATGCATAAACATCCAATAATAATAATAATATTTATTTCAGAACCGTGTTACAACATGTGTATTGTGTATGTAATTATTATATCCCAAACATCTATGTAATTAATTCTAATAACAAATAATAGGTAGATAAAAATATAAAATTACAAATGGTCAAAATAAATCCGCATTAATAAATCACATTAAATAAATAGATTTTTACAGATAAAATAAAAAAAAACATTTGTTCGTCAATATTTCCAATTGTTATACGATAAACGTCAATAGGTTAGTACATAATAATATAATATACAATCTACCTAATATATATAAATCCATCATTTAAATTTATCAAATATACAAAACTATTTCACCACCAATAAATTAGTCTGATTCCGATAAATAGAAGTATGCTTCTAATTATAACGTCCCGACGTCCGTATAACGATAATGAAATTAACTTGTTTTCGTCTATAACACAAATCCATATTTTAGTTGTTGATAATAATGAAATATAATTACAGAATATATTCCGCTAATTAAAATTGTTGAGTTTTTTGAAAAATCGATATATTGACAGTAAAAAGAAGGAGTGCAATTATTAGTATACTGACACGTAAAATAGCATTTTGTTGTAGACACAACTAGTCTATGCCCATGTGTAAATATCACCTCTATTTAGGTAGCCGATGTATACAAGTATATTCCACAGGTATATTTTTTTGAACTACAAAAGTCATAGTAAGCTCCAACCAGTGGCGTATATAGAGGGGAGGCTCCCTAGGCCAGAGCCCATAGTAAAATTACAGGTTCTATTAAAGCATTGCATGTATATTTACACTGTTTACAGTTTTTCACCATGATTAAGTTAGCCGTTTGATTATTCATAGTAAGATAACATTAAAATATATAAATGACACTGCCAATAATTAAAAAAAAAAGAATTAAAAAAAAAAGTATTCAAATACTTTTAAGTACACAAATACGTACCTATGTCCTATTCTAAAAAAAGTACTTGGGCACAATATTTAAATACTTTTTTGAAAGTACCTATCTATATTTAAAATCAAATACTAATTTAAATACTTTTCTCATCTTACTTTATTTACAAGGACATTTAATTTAAATAAAATAATACAAATTTTAAATTGTACAACATTTTTATTTATATACTAGATATCCATTTAATTGAATGTATGTATTCCGTTGATTTCCTAATGAAATTGGAAATACATTTATTTGAATTATGTATATAATATAAAACATAATGATAGTCGATAGTTAACACATTATATTTTTAATATTTAAAACTATAGATGGTGCTAAAATAAAAAATTCATTCAGTTTACTAATGATTCTATTTATCTATATAACTATATAAGGTGACCTTATTAAGGTCATTAGACCAAAGTATAAAAGTAAAACACATTTAAAAAAAAGTATTTGAAAGTATTTGTTTTTGTACTTAAATACTTTTTTTTCCAAGTATTCAGATACGTATTTCAAATACTTTTGAAAATAAGTATCTGTAGGTACTTGAATACTTTTTAAAAGAGTCTTTTACAAGACTGGGTAAACTGTACTTTTTTAAATATCCTTTTAAACTTACATTAAAAAAAATCAAATTTTCATAAAAAATGTATCATCAATTAACATAACCTATAGATTGTGTGAACAAAATTTGAAAGGAAAAATTGATTTTTAAGTGAATTTCAGGTCTTCAGACATTAGCGTCCTTACTTTGCCAAATGTTCCCCTACTATTGATCATATTCAAAATAATTGTTTGTTTTTTAATTTGTATCAATGTGATTAATATAGTTATTATATCTAGTATTAATAACACTAGGATGATAACACTAGTAAATTAACACAGGGTTGTACAATTTTCAAAAATATCTAACACATTAAATATCTAATTTTTTTTTGAATCGTTTGTGTTAATATTTATATTATATTATTTTTAAATATTTGAAAATGAGAATATTCAACACAATATTACTATTATACTATTACTATTACTATTATATTACTATATATAACTTCATAAGTATAACAAAGAGTACTTTTTTATATTAACATATTATAATAGGTATAGACATTACCTACTAATTATTAACAAAATAATAATAAAATACATTTATTAGCAATATACTTAAATTCTAATACTGTTTAGTTTATTTAATTATTTAATTAAATAATAATAATATTGAGCAATTATTTAAGATTACATTGTATGGTGCTTACATTTCAAACATACCCGCTGACACGGTTAAAGTACTATTGATCATATTCAAAATGATTTTGTGATTTTTCATTTGTATCAATGTGATTATTCCAGTTATTATTAAGACTATAATCTGAAAACAAATATAACATTTTAATGAAATTTAAGGCTTAAATAAATAAACTTTAATGTTTATTTATAATAGTATATTAAATTTACTATAGTATATATATATATATAGAATTAGAGACTTGTAGCTCTAAAAAATAAGGAAATATTCACCAAAAAATTGCCAAATATGCACTAAGGCCCGAAAAAAAAATTAGGTATAACAAATATGTGGTAAAGCTAAATATTTATTTTATTATTGAAACTTGAAAGGTTTATTATTTAATAAATTGAGTTTTTAAAAGGTAATTCGTTTAAATTTTAGTCTTCTTCGGTGTCTTCCTAAAGTAAAAACCAAACAATGTTTAAATATTACAGCCGATCCTGGCTTATAGGATTATTTATACCTATACACACAAATAATAACGAGATATGAGTGGTAGTTTGTAGATAGCATATTATTGGTATCATTAATAATAGATTCTGAGTGAAACGATGAATGTATTGATTTTACAATGGTGTGTGTTTTTTTAAAATTTTTTTTTGTGTGTCATCACCTTTTAGGACAGTAAAAGTGCTTGGATTTTCTTCAACAGTACCTTTTCTGATAGGAAAGTGAATCTAGTTGGTACTTGGGGGGGGTCAAAAGTAAAAATTTCTCAGTAGTTATCAAAACCGCCGTGAAAAACATAAGAAAAATTAAGGAAAAACGGGAATATTTAAGCAAAATCTGTTTTCGAGAAAATCGATTTTGGTTTTTGGTGCAACTCTTAAACAAATGACCGTAGGTACATGCAATTTTGACTGAATGTTTATATTAGCATTTTCTATATACCTTACCATTTTCCAAATATTTTGACTTATTTTGAGCTCTTTACGGACATTTTCATTTAAAATTTTTTTTTTTCTATAAATATCAATAAAATTTTATCTGTTGGGCCAAAAAGTGTAAAAATGTAATACAAGGCTCCTGATATATTGGTACAATATCAGTTGAAAAATATTTAAAATACATAGGCACAACTTTTTTTATAAGCATTTAAAGTTCGAATGTTGACAAAATTTATCACATTTAAAATTTAATAACTATTTTGTAGTTAAAAATGTATAAAATGTTCAACTTTAATATCTAAGGATTGAAAATTTATAACAAGATCCAACGTAAGTAGTTAATTCTGTTACCAAAAAATCTAAAAAATACAGAAGAACAGTTTATTTTTATAGTCATTTTAAGTTCAAATTTGGACGAAATTACATAATAAAAAACTTAGAATAACTATTTTAGTTGTTTCGTTATGATTGTATAATATTATTCGTGGGTACTTGAAACTTCTAAAGTGTACTATTATATATCTATGATAGTATCACGGTTTGTTGTTGATGTATAACGCGTTATCAGTACCTAATGGATATTGTGATATGATTAATTTGGAATTTATTATAGGTACCTATTATAGGTCATTTTTTTTGAATACCATAGATTAGTATGCTAGTATACTATAGTATGTCTTATACCAAGACTGACAAACCGTCTTCGCTCAGAACCGTATTTCTTACACAATGATATTATATCATTGAATTCAAGTTTCATACAATTCATTAAACAGTGACCCACTTGGAACCTACTGTACAGCAGAGTGACATCCACTAATCCGCTTTTTTAATTTTAAATTTGAAAAATTTGTCAAAATATACAAAATAAGAACAACACATTTTAAAATTAATACTTTTCTGTAAAATCTATAAAATATGCAAAAATATGCACATTTAAATTTTAGATCTGATATCATGGTACCGATAAATTAATTTATTTCACACTCTGCTATATTTAAACATATAAACATTTGGCTGGGGGGTGGGTCCATAGGAGAATACAATTATGAAAATTAATAGGAATAGGATCACAAATTATTAAGTAATATTGGCCATTTAGAGTAATAACAATATTAATATTGTGTACATAATATTATAATATAATATAAAAGGTTGAATTTTGTTTATTTTTTTTTGTATTTTGTAGGTACTATCGTTTCAGCGGTTGCAGGTAATTAAATATAATTTTAATGTTATTCCATACGTATTGGTAGAAAAAAAAGAAGAGAAATCTGATCAAAATAAAACAAAAGTAGGTGGCAAATTGTTTGTGAGAGGTTACAAATTTTCTTAGTGGGTTTTGTGGGGTGGGGTGGGTGGTTGTCGGAGATCCTTGCCATACATTTAATTTTGTACTTCAGCTCCACTGCATTAATATTTAATATTTAAACAATTTAATTTAATAATTGCACATTAATATTTATATAATTTATCTGGACAGCATTTTCGGGTATAATGTTCGTGGCCCGTGGGCCTACGAACCGTAGACTGACGAATGACAATAACGCTAATTGGAGTCTACCTCCTATCTCGATTACGTTTACATTTTTTTTTTCGGTATCGAACATACATAAATAAAACTAAAGAAGCTGTTCGTTACAAAATCAGCGAAAAACATCTAATCCAAGGCAAATTAAATAGATATTTATTTAACAACTAAAAAATTATTCACTAATATACCAATATATAATCTATATATATTATATACATGGCTTAGCGCTGCACAGTGTCTGAAATCAGTCACGCGACGTGATTGAGAGTAAGCAACGGCCGCTGCCACTACTACTCGGATGGGTGACCACCTAGGTTCGTAGTGCTCAAAAACCTAGCCACACATACACGGGTTTCTAACCGTCCGTACCAATTGTCCCAACCCTACTGTACCAACCTTACAGGCTAATGACCTCAGTCGTCCAAGCCTTAAAACCTAATAAAAAATAATAATAATAAGTGTACTCATCTATTCACCTAAAGGATAATTTATTTAGAATGCTTGACCCCATTTTCCCCTTTAATATTACATTTATTCAAATTCTGATTTTTAAAATGTTTAAATGTAGCAAAAAGGCTAAATTTTTAAATTTCTGATATATTTTGTACTATTTAAGGAGTTTCCTGTGGGTGTACAAACTTTTACTTTTAAAGTTTTAAATGAGAACTATCTAGTGGATGATTTTCTTAAAAATGTTGGTGTATCTAAACAAAAATTCTAACGAGTATAGTTTTTGAGTTATTATAATGTTTAAACTATGGATAATAATCCTTATAAATGGTCTTACAAAAAAAATTATATGTAATATTAGATATAGTATTTATTATATTTTGGTCATTTTTACAAAGTATTCATATTGATGGATCAATAGTACATTGTATATTATATAATACAATATGTCAATGTAATATCATTACTAACATTTCCTTTGTATATTACTATACTCTGTATAAACTACTGAATTATAACTTGGATAAGTCTATGAAATAGTGTTAATGGTCAAAATATAATAGATAAATTCTTAAAAGTGGGTTTAAAACTGATTAAATATGCACGTAAAAATATATATTAACCCTATAAACCAGTGTGTGGCCCAATAGACGAATGAGTCTATTAACCGTGAGCCCATTAGCCGCTAGTTGCGACTACTGTCTATGATCCATTTTCTTACTCAAACACATAGTAGGTATATATAGGTAGGTATAATAGTGTAATACTAAATATTTTAAATTAGTACTAAATATATTAAATAGTTCAATTTTTCAGCTGTAATTTAGTACAGTATCTGAATTAAACTATTGTGAGATTTGAATAAATCCTGCATATTTCAATAATAAAAACATTTTTAATAATACTTACTGACATAACAATATTCAAATTTATATTGAAAAATCCGTAAGTGTTAATTTCATCCAATTCAAAAAATGATAGTTGAAGCATAAACATTTTAACCTATAATATCATTTAAATTATGAATCATATTATGTTCATAACGGTTAATAATTATACATGATTATTGTATAAAATATAATGAATTAATATCATTATAATATCAATTTTAATCATGAACTAACATGCAATAGATTATAGCTCTTATTTTAGGTATTTAAATTATATTATTGAATTTGTGATTCGTGAATGAATACTATAAACATATGCTAATATTAGGAGAATATGGTGTCATAATAAAATTAATTATGAATTTTGGATAATCCAAAAAAATTATAATATTAATATAAATATTATATTTTACTTGTCGTTTTATGTCTGCGTGTAAGTTTGATATACGATATAATCTTAAATATGATATTATCTTCCTTTTCTGGAACAATTATATAATAATATGTTTTATTATACATATGTTATTTTGTATTCCACTAGATATATTATTGTAATTAAATATTTAATTAAAAATAATTAGGTGAATGATTAACTGTAAAGATAACGTATCTTAAGTCATGATGAATTAAAGGTTAATACTTGAAACATGATAATAAAACATTAATTAACATAGTTACCTACCCACATATTTATATACAGTGAAACCCCTAAGTACCGGACACTCTCGCCTCTCGGTCACTGAAATTTTGTCCATTATTTAAAAGTGTCTACTATTTAGAAGGTTCAGATTTTAGAAATGATTTGTAGTTGGTTCCTAAGAAAACTTCCACTGTTGGGAGGTATCTGCTATGATGTCCATTAGGGGAGGTTTCACTGTATTGATTAGAGTTAGGTACCTACTTATAGTAGTTTGCATGTTTTTTAATAATCATTCAAAACACAGCTTAACATAAACATTTATTTCATAATACATTAGGAATTTAAAGCATTTTTTTTTATTTTGCATATTTATTTTAACTTTATTCCATAAGGTAAGTGCATAATATGTATTTTAAGTGCATTTTTAACATAATATATACAATATGTAATATGAATTTATTAGACATTTGAAAAAATACGATTCTAATGATAAAATATTATTTTTCAAAAATGTTTAGGTGAACAAAAATTGTCCCTTAATTATATTCGAAAAATATAAGTCATACAATGAAATTGTATTCATTCGGGTTAAGAGTTTAATAATCATTTAATCGTAACATAATATGCATTATTTAATAGTTGACATAGGTATTTGTTTTTTTATAGGCGAGCTTAAAAAGAAGATGGATTAAGAAAGAAAAATAAATACATGTTAATTTTAATTTCATAATAAAACATTTTTTCATACATTATTAAAGGATATAATATATGAATATGATGAATTTTTAGAGCATAATTTAATGCATTAAATTTTTCCCTGCTGTCCCTAGTTCTAATAATGATGTACATTTATCATTATTTATTAAATAAGTAGTTATCTAATACTTATAGGGTACTATTATACCTATGCATAATTACATTCATTATTATACCTTACCTTATCGTGTACCAACGAAACAGCAACAATAATGGACATAGTAAGGATTACAATTTGAATATTTAATATTAATGGGAATACATTTTGTAAGACCTTTTTCAATGATGATACATCAGCTGGAGCCGCTGGAGGTGGTCTTAAGCAAATCGATAAAAAAAGTTGAAATACCAAATTTATAAAATTGAATACAAAGAAACTTAACAGCAATGGCCCGTAACCCAAACTGAATATTCTTAATAGTTCAGACAGTTCAGAGTGTAACAACCGTATATTTTCCATTGACATTGCTAATTCAGAATTGGTCCATTCATTGGGATAATCGGATTCAACAGGAAGAAATTTCAAAAAATCTATTAATGTTTGAAATCTAATGTTCAAGTTAAGGAGAAAAAAACATGATGTAATTAAAACAGCAAAGTCTATAATGAACGGCGCTCCAAAAAAATAGCGTATGGTTGTATGAATATTTATTGTTTTTAGGGGAAATATGTACTGATGGTAAAGTTCAAATCCGATAAAGTATACCAGTAATAAAATATAAATCTTATTCAAAAATCGTTTACTCAAAGAACGCTGTTGAACCGACAAATATGTCGAAAGTAGTGCAGTTTTTTGATCAAATTCGACAATACCATTGATCAACCTTAAAAAAAAACAATGACAAAAATATTATTTTTTATACTATGTACTTATATAGGCAATAGTCAATCAGATTTTATTAGAATTTTTGTTGAGGTTTTGGTTTATAAATATAACATTATTCAATCTGGTCAATGTCCTATTCTTTAAAGTTGTATTATTGTATAATGGTCACTATAATCAGTTAAGTCTAACGCAAACCACAAAACTATAATATTATAAGGTACCTAACAGTAACACGGTATACCACAGTTATATCTATAGCCTATAGGTAGTAATTCTAGTACTAAATAACAAGAGGCGGATTGACATATCGGAAAATGGTAAAGTTCCCGAAGTTTCGGTATTTGTGACGCTACTTGATTGTTGTTTTATAGCAAACTAGTTGATCCCGTGCACTTCGTTGCCCGGCAACTAATAGTTATTACTTATTATTATAATAGCTTCAGAACCCATGGCAACCATTTATAAACAAAAATGTCCATAGGAAATCTCAAAATCCCTGTTTGAGCACGTCCCGGGGTTGGTCCTCTACTCCTCTCCCTTATTAAATTAGCCTAACTTCTGCCCAGAGGTCTAATCTATCTCTGTACCAAATGATCCCGTGCACTTTGTTGCGCGGCAACCAATAATTATTATTAAAATAGCTTCAAAACCCATGGCAACCACAGGACACACACGCACAGACAGACAGACATTAATTTATATATATATAGATAAAATCAAGTTTATATACCGATATGAGTTTTAGAACAATAGATTATCCTGAAACTGCAATGCAAATATTATTCAATTACATGATACACAAGATTCATAAAAATCTTACATTTCAGGGAGGTGTTGCGCTATATGTATACAACCCCAAAACCCTACCTCATTGGTTGTGCAGTGTGCACTGACATGAAGAATTGGTTGTATTATATCACTTTTATCTTAAATTCTAAGGATGTCTTTAGATGTATGTTCTTTAAAATTATTTTATGGCTCATATGCCAAAGCCATAAGCTACAAATTACAATCATAGCACAAAAAATTATATTTAATAATAATTTATCCTTTTGATTAGTAAAGGATATAGGCAAAATTAAGAAACTAATTATTCATTAATTTATTTATTCAGTATATTATATTATGGTAAAAAGGGTTAGTTACGCAGTATACCCATACGGCCATACATTATATACTTTTTTTAAATCACACTAATATAATGATTATGACGAGTAAGTCATATCTTAACGTATCACACTATTATGTACTAACATCTCAAAACCTGTCATATGACTTAAACATTTTTCATGCACCAAAATTAATCTCTTATTAATTATTATTGACTATAATTGTGCATTAATTGTGTCTAATTTAATCCTAAGAACTAGGTTCTACTCTACCAACGTTGCATTCGTGTCTATAAATATTTGAAATAAACATTTACTGTATAATAAAAATGTATACATATACTTTACGATCCATATTTCTGATAATCTTGCTGCGATAATAACACACCAAAATTTAAGTAGCAATATTATTTCCATGAAAGTAAATAGTTGCCATCTATAAAGTATATAGGTGCACGCCAATAACAAACACGTACGCACTAATTCAAGTAATGAATAGACTGATAATTGCGGATCCCGGACTAATAATCCAGTTGGTTGCAATGTATAAGAAGTGTTAATCAATCCTAAGAACTGACTAAATATTAAAATTGGCCTCAAAGTTGTTTTAAAAATAGTCGTCATTTCGATAATTTATTTTTTAAATAGGTGCTGTAAATCCGTGGTGAATACTGAATAGTAACTAATTTGTAAAAATTGATAGTTTTTACAGTTTGGCTGAATTCAACCATTGATTAAATATGCAAACAAGCGCTTATTATAATGAATGTTTATCCATTTTAATATTATTATTATTTTCTCAGAACTACAGTTGACTTATTTACCTATTGACCTACCATTAAGTCAAATTGAATTAGTGTTTCATTTAATTTGTTTACCTAAAAATATTATTAAACTTTATATTAAATTGTGATACAACGAGAAATACTATACTTACTAGCCTGACAAAATATTATTTCATCAATATTGTTATTTGTTGGAATATTGTTAGTTGCATATTTTTATGTACTTATTATCGCACTTTATATTGCTTATTTAAACTTCTAAATATTGTGTTATGTGTTGTTAACATTACTATATTTTTTTTTAAAAATTACTATATAGTAAATAGTTGTATACAGTTTTAGGTACCTACCTAATTTTATTCTTATTTTATATTCATAAAAATTCAGATTACTAAAATATTTTCTCAGGAGTTTTTAAATTGTAAAATATCATATAAGTACCAATATACCTATTATATAATTTACTAGATATAGAGCTTAATATCACTCATGCTTTCAAACTCCTAATAATATATTATTATAAGTAGAAGAATTGGTAATAAAATCGAAGAACAGTTAGATTTTAATCAATATGGTTTTCGAAAAAACAAAGGTACCAGGAAATCAATACTAATCTTAAGAATAATACTAGAGAAACAAATAGATGGATTGAAAAAACCCATTATGGCTTTTGTAGATTTAGAAAAATCTTTCGATAATTTTAATTGGAAAATAATATTTAATATAATGGATAATGTTGGAATAGACATTAAGGATAGGAATATTTTATATGCACTATGCAGTGTTCAAAAATCAGGAAACTAAAATTAAAATTATCTCTACAATAAACACAGCTAATATACACAAAGGAGTAAGACAAGGATTCCCACTGTCACCCACTTTATTCAATGTCTACGTTGAGCAAGAAATATGTGATATAAAACAAAAGCTAGTAGAGAAAAGAAAAAGAAAAAACGATCTACAAACAGCACTTATTGAAATGGATGATATATTCTTAACATTCAAATTAAACATAAATACGGCAAAAACAAAAGTAATGATATGTAGTAAACAAATTGGACCAAACATTAATATATTCCTTTAAGGAAATACCCGAAATAGAATAGATCAAGTAAATAGATTTAAATATTTGGGAAGCATAATAATAGCAATGGCAAAAGATCAGAAAAGGAAATAAAAAGTAGAGTAGGACAAACAAAAAAGGCATTCCTAGTTGAGTATAAATTACTAACGTCAAAAAATATATCTAAGAGTAATAAAATGTTTAATTAACGGATGTACGGAGTAAGATTTTATATGGTAGTGAAACATGGACGTTGAACAAAAAGATGAAATCACTCTAAGCTTTGGAAATGTGGTGTTACCTAAAAATGGAGAAAATAAAATGGTCAGAAATGAAGACAAACTAAGAAGTGATTTAGCCAAAGAAAAATAATTTAGATCAAGACGATGGTACACGATGGGTCATACTCTAAGACATAACGAATAACTCCATAGCATCATAAAGGGTGTTTACTTTGTGAATCCCCTTGTATGTTAAAAGTAAATATCATAACTATTAGTTACTTTTGAATAAAAAAAGGTATGTACCACATTAGGTACTTTTGTATTTAATTAATGAAAAAGTTATCTATTTACCTTTTTATTTTGTAACTTATAACGTTATTTTGATACTTTTAAGAAATAATTGACTTCTTAGCTCTTTGACACACCAATCAATTGTAACGATAGAAATGTATACCGCTTTTGACTATTAATTATGTATCAATTCGTTTGTATAAAACATTTAAAAGTTTTAAATATAATGCATAATATATTGTTTGAAAACACAAAATAGTTTATTAGGATTAAGTATTAACTATACAACACATGTTGTTTACTTGTATTTGTTGGTTTTTAACCAAGTATTGAAAACATATAAATTAGTTATTTGAATTGAAATGATAATTTTTAACTTTAAACATTTGAGACATCCAACTTAGGTTAGGTTAGGTTAGGTTACTAAAATGTTTAGTATCAACAAGACAAAAACTTTCAAAACAGTTAGACACAGTGGCGTATTTACGGGGGGGGGGGTCCATGGGGTCCGGACCCCTCCCATTGACTCGTGTCTCGTACATGTTAAATGTTGTGCAGTTTTTACATGATTAAAAAACAAATTTTATCATACGATTTTACGGATTGTATAAAAAATTTTCGAAGCTATAGTTATATCAACATTTTCAATAAATATCGTGATTATTTTTATCAGTTGGGTACCGGAAATGGTTGAAAAATACCAAATTCATCATTCTTTAATTCAAATATTTTGTAGTTTTGTACATTGCCAGTATCTACAACCACTCCAGAGAGATCTTTTTCAAACTTTTTAAGGTTGAAAAGTTATCTAAGATCAACTATGAATGAAGTAGGTACCTAATGTAATTAAGGAAATATTTGTATAAAAGTTATAACATATAACTATATATTCGATTCTGAGGGATCTATTGGTTCTACAATGGTGTTTATTTTTTTTTCCTGTATACAAAATTTCTTCCAGAAGGAGTGCTTCGATTTCAACATGTATAGACATATAGTAACTTATCTTTTAGAAAATTGGATCAAGATTACTACCTTAGAGAGGTCATTTTTTGATTTTCTCAATAGTTATTTAATGCCACTGTAAAAACCACCAAAAAATTACGAAAAACCTCTAAAAATGGGATTTTAATTTCTAACACTTTGTCTATCATCATAGAAAAAAATAAAAAATAAAAGTATTTCATTATTAATTCAACTAACAGGCTATAATAAATAATAACAATATAAAATATCCAGACTGACAAACCGTCTTCGCTCAGAATCGTTTTTCTTATACAATGATATTATATTATATCATTGAGTTCAAGTTTAATACAATCCATTATACATTGACCCACTTGTAACCTACTGTACAGCAGCAGAGTGACATCCACTCACCCGCTTTTTTTTAAATTTGTTTTGTACATATTATTATTTAATAATTAAAAACTCGACAATTTTATATCGTCTTATAAATATGGTATATTTTATTTAATAAAGAGTAAATGGGTGGTGTGGGGGGCTTCGTCCCCCGTGGCTCTGTGTTCTGGAGTTTTGGACCCTCCCCATGACAAATTCCTAAATACGCCACTGGTTAGACAAACTAATATTTAGCCAACACGTACAACTTAAATAATTATGATCAAATTGGTAATAATAACTTATACCAAATATATTATTTTTCGATATAATAGTATCGATATGACATGTGTACCTACATTATGTTCATACAATTATTTAATTGATTTCATTGTATATTGATTTCACATGTATATTTTACGTATATTTTGAGATTACATTTTTTTATAATATTGTACATGTTCAATAATTGTAATACACATATTATTATGCTAATTAAATTCATATATTTTTAAGGCAAAAACAATAATTTAAAAACATTGATACCTGTTTAATAATTATTTGTCCTAACTGTGCAGTTCAAAAAAAAAAAATAGTTTGCAACAAAAAATAAGCTCTACAACGGTTCTAGGATAAATGAAATAGTTTTTTTTTATTTTCCCGACTTAATCATCTGGCCCAAAGCTTTGCATATATTCGTGTTCAGTTGGATTTTAACATTATCGATAAATGCGTTTGTCAATGTTTTTTCAATGTCGGCCGACAACTTTGCACCGTATTTAACATTTGGCTGGTTCACTACGACCTCAGTCTTGCGTTCGACGGGCTTAAGAATGTTGCATGATATGTTGATATCGATTCTGCTGATTGTGAACGTTGCTTGGCCGACGGTAGGCTTACTTTCCTGGAGCTTAAAGTCGAATTTACCGTCTAAGTTATGAATTGTTGTGAGTACATCAGCTGTAACCGTGTTGGTGGCCATTTTTGTGGTGACCTTTTTCAATTTGTGTACCGAATTAACAAAGCCACTAATGACCGAATTGCTGATGCTATACCCTACACTACCGCTGGGAAGCTTTCCGTTTGTACCAGGAAAGTTTTGATCGGTGTCATTCTTGAATATGATGTATGGTTTGATAACCTGACGTATGGCCACGGTGATGTTGTTGTGCGTGTCTCTAACCACTCGATCGGCTACTTGTTGAAAAACGATATCTTCAATGAAGTGCCTAAAATTATAAATTAAAAAATATATTATATTTATATTTAAAGAATTGATAAATTATTAAAAATTTTACGAAATAAACGATTTAATAGACACTCATTTGATTATATCAATTACAGCGTAGACACAACAGTATCCTGCGCACTGCGTATCTATATATTTTTGATGATAGACATAATATTATAAGTATAGGTGTATATTTAACGTATTATGTACAAACTACAACTTGTCTTTTCCATAATGCAATAATCAAATCAAATCTCTTTATGATTGTTACATAAATGATAAACACATCGAAACACCAAAAATTTCAAGTTTGAAATCAAATTAAGAAATATCAAGTCTATACAAGTCTGCATGGGCAGAAGATTAATTTGTGTAATTGTATAATAGAGAAAATATCCTTTATTTTTTAGCAACAAAATATGAGTGGTATTTATACCTACTATTAAATACATGGGTACAAGTCGCAACACACTAATGTTTTGATATTACATAAGTACATAATCATTAAGGTTAACCGTTGCTATTCTTTAAATTACATATAATTGGTTGTATAACTCATAATATATTTAAAAATAATATTACTTTTAATCAACGTTAAATTAAATATGAAATCTACAACTGTCAACAAGGTACACTACATATACATATCTGTCACCTGTATTTTATAATACCTGAAATCGTATAATTACCAGATCATATTTTGTTTGAACTTTGAACTTTTTTTTAATATTGATAAATGCAATATTACCTATAACTTATAAGTTATAACTAGTTAGGATTTTGTAGCTTTGTTAAACCATTTTTAGACTTTCTATTTTAGTTTAATTCTTGAAATTTAATACGGTATACCTAGTGTAACCTACCTAGTGTATACGCATGATATGATTTTTTAAACTAATACAGGTTACAGTTAGTTTAAAATTCTAAATTTAAGATTCGTACATAAAATTATTCAAAAACTTTTGTTTTTTAAATATTTCGGTTTTTCACAGATCTTTAGTTTGTTTTTTCCAATGATTAAAAAAAGCGTACCATATCCTACTCGGCTACTCTTGACTCATAAAACTACTAACTAGTTATCTCCTTCAATACTGAAGGTTGAAATAAATTGTCTGCTTTAAAACTGCTTTAAAAAATATTAAAAATATAAAGTCACAATTTTTTTATAAGTATTTAAAGTTCGAATTTTGACAAAATACGAAAATGTGCAAATTATTTTGAGTTAGAAATTCATGAAAATTGTCTAAGATTTGAATATTGAATACCAGATCCCTCATAAGTTTGTCTATCTTAATCAATAAAAAAATTCCCACCGGAAAGTCAAATTAAATTTTTATCTGCGTTTAAACATCAAATTTTTACAACATTGAATTACATCACTCGATTTATCATTTTCTTATTTTATTGTAATTCATAAATGAATAACTGAAGATGCTTGAAAATTACACAATATGTTTATATTATTAATACCTATACTCCATACAATTTTCAAAATATTTTGAGCCATTTTGAGTTGTTTACGGGCAATTTCAAATTTCAGTTTTTTTTTGTTTTTTGTTTTTGTTCAAAAAAATTATTTGTTGGGTAAAAAGTGTGAAAATGTAATACAAGGCTCCTGGTTTATTGTGACAATAACAGTTGAAAAGTATTAAAAATAAATTGGCACCACTTTTTTATAAGCATTTAATGTTTGAATTTTTACAAAAATTATCAAATTAAAAATTTACAAAAAGGTGAGAAGTGGGTGTCGCTCTGCTGTACATTAGGTTACAAGTGGGTCACTGTAATACTGTAATGGATAGTGTTAAATTTTAGTTCAATGATATAATATCATTGTACACACTATACGAAAAACGATTCTGAGCAGTGATTGAATTCAAATTTAACACCATCTGACCCACAATGACCCACTTGTAACCTACTGTACAGGAGAGCGACACTCACTTGCTCACCTTTTTTTCAATGTATTCAATTTGAAAAATATTTAAACTTTAAACCGATCAACTATACCTAGGTAGTTCAATAAAATGGCAAAATAAATTTGTTTTTTTAAAATATAGAATTAAAACATATTATTAAATTTATTTTATAGAAAATAGTGTATTTTTTATTTTTTATTAACTCACTTGACATTAGGAGAATCACTAGTAGCAATGTGGCAATTGCTAATTTTTTCTACTTCAATTTCGAAAGTGAGATTACAATAATTTTACAAATCATAATAATATTTATAGTTTGATCTTAGAATATTAATACCTTTTATTTAAGTAGCAGTTAGTTGGAATGTAGTAAAAATATGTTTTTCTATACATTATTAAGCTATAGAATCATGGAGAGTATTACTTTATAAAGTTAGAGAAAAATCTTAATAAAATAGATTAAGAGGATTGCACATCAATATTTGTTATCTTCGTCTCAAGTGTGTTACATAGGTAAGTACTAACATATTATGGAAAATGTACCTTCAGCAGTTCAGTTTTCGACTTTAGTTTTGTAAGTTTTATTATTAGAGACCTATTATTAAACTTAAAGCTAATCCATAAACCATTATACTACCTATTCCATATAATGATTTATTATTTATCTTAATAACTATAAGTCTATAACTAAGTATTATATAATTGTATTTATTCGATGATGAACTGATAAAACTGTCTAGATATTAGACACATTTTTAAGAGCTAAGTGTTGTGAAATTTCATCCTTTTTATATTATCTTTCACGCCTAGTAGGTGCCCACATCAACATTTTAAGCATTTCAGATTATTTACAAATTTTATATTTCTACGTATTTAATTCAAATTTTGCCGACTGATACATTCAAAAACCAATAATATGAATTACCTGATTCGGGACCCATTTAATGATAATAGTGTTTTTATTATGTGCAATAAATCCTCTGATGGCATTATTGTAAAATATGAGATCAGATTGTGGATTAGAAGTCCTCGCATTCGAAATCGGCATTTCGTCTTTAAAGAATCCGTACGGAGATTCTGGGTCCAACATGTGACACATGTATTCAGAAATCACTTTGAGCTGGTTTTCAATTGCTTGAAAAACAGCTTTTTGAATCTCGTCGTCGCTTTTGTCACGCATCTGTTTTGGTAGCATTTCCGGTACCGTGTCATCATCGGAGGACCAATTATTCACTGATAAATTGTCTGAAAACGTTTGTAAATATTAATATTACGTTTGTAAATTTTTGAATGCCTAAAAAATGTTAAAAATAGCCCAATTGTTTTAAAACCAGATAAATTTACCTGCAAATGCAAACGAAATGCTAATAATCAACGCAAATACCGTACAATATTCCCTCTGCATGTTGACGAATTGTAGTTCTTACAAATAAAAATAATTTATATTATAATGTGAGTAAATGATGCATAAACAATGTACATTTAGAATTTTATACTTTATTTCGGATTATTTTTAGCTATATGCCTATATAAGCTACTATGGGCAAATTTTGATAAAGTTTATCAGTTTAATAAGTATAGAATGACTATAATGAGTAATAAAAATAGAATATACTAATATAGGTATATGTATCATATATTTATATGTTATAACTACTTTTAATATAAGTTATGTGAATAGGGTTTTCATTAGACATAATTATTTCTGTTAATATTTTATAAAAAAAAAATCCCATAACTAATCTTTAATATAATTTATCAGCTATATTAAGACACGGTGCTATATTATGTGTAATATACTAATTAGGAAAAAATTGTTTATAATAATATGTAGGTACCTATTTAATATTTCCATCAACGATAAACCCATAGGTCAACTTTTAATTTTCTACAGTTAAATTTGCAATACCTAACGTGAAACGACTTATTGAACTTATATTAATAGGACGTCATCGATTTTAAAATTCTTATTGCTCATAACTTGTTTCAGAATGATTAAAATATCAAAAATATCCTATGTGAGGATAGTAACAGCAGATTCTTCTAAACGTTAAAATTATAGCTATGTTATGCGTTTGTAAGATACAACACATGTGTTTACTAAGAAATCTTAAAAATTATGTCTGTGTATTATGAACTTTAAATTATTCTCACAGATGGATTTTTTTAAATCAGGATCTAAATTTCTTTTAAGCCTGAATATTAAACTATAATTAATATTATCATCGTATTCTATAGAATGTAGATTACATTATTTCCACATAAAATATTCATATTTAATACCTACCATTAAATACCAAAATAACTTAGTAATAAAAACTATAAATATTAGCACCCCATTACATTATAATAGTTAATAGGTAGGTTGGTAGTTCGGTACTTGTCTTAATTATTTATTACATTTTCACATCAGGTATAATGATTATTTTAATTTAAAGATACAAATTAATATTATTATTTATTGTATACACAATGTTGCATATTCAGTATTAATAACCATCATAAACGTCTGTGGGGAGACAAGAGGAAGAGAGTTTCCTTGACATTTTATTGTTGGAGTAGATAAGAAAATCTTATTAATTATGTTATTATTCATTATTATTATTCATCCTGTTTTGACTAAAATGTATTGTGTACTACAAGTATTTTAAGTTATAACACATTTTTTTAAGCATTATGTTTGATTGATTGAGGGATGACAATCATAAACTTAGGTACCTATTGGTATTTTTAGCGAAATTGAGTTGGACTTCAATTAATCATATTTTAAACATAGATTCGATCGGTATCAAAAAAAAAAAATTATTAAATGATTATTTTCGGGAAAAATCATTAAAACAAAAATAGCAGTTAAACCAGGGGCGTACCCAGGAATTTTTAAAGGGGGTTCCAAATTTTTTTAACATGTAAAAAGTATACAGTTGGTGGATTGCGCCTTAAGAATTTTAAATTCTGTCAATCAATGGTTTCAGACCAGAACCCTTCCTTGGGTACAACACTGGTTAGACCAAAACGTATTTAGTACTTATTACCAATGAATTTATTTTTGTAAATTAAAGAATTTAAACATTATCCAAAACTTACTATTGACCGTGTTAAGCCATAATATCATTATCAAAGTTATAGAACAAAACAAACTACTGTTTTTTCCAAAAAGTACAATTTCCACGTTACAGCATTTTTTTGAACGGCAACGTACAACTTTAAAAAAGTAAAAGTAAAATACTTAAAAAATGTTAAGGATAAAAATACCTATTTAAAAATAATACCTATATTTTATCCAAGCCGCATAAATAATGATTTATCATCTCTAGGTCCCTATCAAAATGTATTACTCTTTTTGTTTTTTTTCATGAACAGTTATTAATTTCTTATCGTGAATCGAAACTATATACCTACAAAATATTATAATATAAAGTTTATATCTACTAGATTTATACAATTAATATAATTATCAAATTGACCTGATAAATAAACCATGATAACTTTCCTCTTCATCCACTTATGACGATAAATCAGTTAGTAAAGGTTTGTAAAGAATTCGTTTTCCTAAAAATAAAAAATGACCGACGGAGGGGCTGGAGAAATGCCCCAAATTTTTTAATTTCAAAATTCCGTTTATACCAATCTATATCATGACCTATATATTTTCTGATAATTAATAAATATTGTTATAAGCTTAATGAAACTTCTTTAAGTTTTATTGAAATTAAAAAGTTACGTATTATAACATGTTATACGTATATTATAGTATCTAAATTATTAATAAGATAATTCCTAAAATAAAAAAAATGTTCTTGGTGGAAAAGTATTATTAATTATTATAATATAAATTGGGTGAGCCTGTCGGATGTCACACAGTAATTTCCCGGGCTGAAATGTTTAGCCAATATGCCATTAAATATATATTTTAGTGAATTTTAAATTTTACACTTCCAATATTATTTATTTTATCTTTGTTTGTATAACTGGTTTGTAATGTTGAGGTAATAATATTAAATTATATGTCCAACATTTGGTTCCTAATTCATTGAAACTTATTCGAGATAAAGTATTGCAAAAACGTTGTGCCCAGTAGGCCTAGCAGGGTAAGTTTTCTTGACAAATATACATTTATTAAAAATCTTTTATTTATGTAACTTTTTAAAAAATACATTTAAAATAAATTTGTTCAAGTCTACAAAGTAAAGTTTGGACTTACCTACTTGGAACTTACCTACTATGTACGACTTAGTCTTATAATTTAAACGATGTTATGATATTTTGTAAGCCACCTTAGTAACATTACACTAAGTATAGTAGGCGACACTCTTACTGCATACTGATTAGTGAATAAAGATACATATAATATTTTTCTGAAATGATGTATCTTTTTAACTATTTTAATTACTTGAATAAAATTTAATTTATAGATTTAATTATTAAATAGATTTTAGATTCTGAGTGAAATGATGAATGTATTGATTTTACAATGATGTGTGTTTTATTTTTTATTTTTTATTTTTTATTTTTTATTTTTGTGTCTGTCAACACGTTTTAGGACAGTAAAAATGCTTAGATTTTGCTTAGTAGTTAATTCTGTTACCAAAAAATTTAATAAATACACAAGCACAGTTTATTTTTATAGTAATTTTAAGTTCAAATTTTTACTAAATTACATATTAAAAACCTAGAATAACTATTTTAGTTATTTTGTTATGATTGTATAATATTATTCGTGGGTACTTGAAACGTCTAAAGTGTACTATTATATATCTATGATAGTATCACGGTTTTTTGTTGATGTATAACGCATTATAAGTACCTAATGGATATTGTGATATGATTAATTTAGAATTTATTATAGGTACCTATAATACATTGACCTATTATAGGTACCTATAGTAAATTGACCTATTATAGGTCAAATTTTATTTTAATACCATAGATATGTATATATAATATGTCTTATACCTAGACTGACATACCGTCTCCGCTCAGAACCGTTTTTTTTTTATACAATGATATTATACCGTTGAATTTAAATTTAATACCATCCATTATACAGTGACCCACTTGTAATCTACTGTACAGCAGAGCACCTTTTTTAATTTCTATTTACATTAATTGTTTTAAATTGTATTGGTCGTTTTTGTTTTTTAAGAAAACAAATTCTTTACATACCTTTACAAACGAAGTACAATCGAATGTTTATAAAAAAAAACTATAAATGATAACAAATTTGTATACAATATAAAAAAAACTTGGTTGAATAAAACAAATCTAAATTCCAAAAAATAACCTAAATAAAATATAAGACAATAAAAATATAAACTTTAAACAAATAAGTAAAAAAATTTACTAACAAGAGTACAAGACTTATATTAGGGCTGTTGAAAGATGGTCGTTTTTTGGTGCATTTAGATCAATAAATATAAACATAAATATACTTCCAGAAGTCCAATTTTAATTACTAAAAATATAATAATTTCTCCTCTTTTTGTCTGTGTTTTGTAAGAAGCCAATTTTTTTTTTTTAGTAATAGGTACCTACTCAAGTAAAGTGATTTTTGAAAAAAAAAAAATAATTTGATACTATACTAATTAAAGAATACAACAAAACAAAAATCAATCTCCTACATAACCTAGAAAAAAATATTAAGGAATTCAAATAGGTTTTCAAGATTAAAATAGAGCTTTTAGTACTGGGTGAATTTTTCTTCCGCTTTTCTCGAGTTTCGTGGCACATGGGAGTTAAACATTTTTTGATCGCAAAATTTAGCGACGTGTGACTGCGCGTATGTACCTTACTGATTTCCAAGTATCTTAGCCATAGTTTATCTTTAATTACGGTGCTACACATACTAAGGATCATTCACGATTCACCCAGAACTAACGATGGATGTAGAATATTTCCTAAATGGTACCATTTCAAAATGGTTTGCCACTAAAGCCTGAAAGCTACTAATGCGCAAAAATCACTTAAGGTTCCCACACACTGGAGAGGTGACGGTGGCATGAAATTCTATTGTATATTGGCTTTACCTCCTCGGTGAGCGGTGAAATGTTGCAGTAATTCACCGCCACCGCTATCACTGCAGTGTATGCTAACTGCATAAAACTTGAATTTCTGAGCGTGAATTTGGTATGTTACGAGTTTGTAAGACGGAGACAACACATGCGGGTTTGGCTTCATCTTAATGACGTAAGGTTACAGTCATAACTGCACTGCTGTAGTAATATTCAGTGAATATTAAATATTTTATTATTTTGCTTGATGTAATCCATAACACGGCGCTCTGTATAGGCATTCTGGGTACATTGTTTTTCATGACGTATCTGCAGACCTCGGCAACCTTAAAATTATAAATATTATCTAAAAACTATAAAATGTTAAGATATGGTCTAAGAGAATTGATATATTTTT